ACCAAAGAATAGGTTATACTCATCAATGGCTTTGGGTCCGAGTATTTTCCTCCCATGCAATCACTCTGGTGCTTTTAGATTTTTTATATTTCAAGAGCGCGCATTCAATAATTGAAATAATAAAATTTATGCTTACGAAAAAATTGAATTATTTTTACATTGTTTGACTCTTTAATTGCATTGTGTCAAAGTAGTGAACGTGGTCAAAGCTCAACAAATGCATTCAAACAGTTCTTTATCAACGAGTCAAAAATTATAAGGAATGTTAAACTGCTTTCCCTTACCTGTCTTCTAATTTTCGTTTCTTTCTTGGTTCATCATAAGTTGGGGTTAAGGGTCGTTTATGGTTTACTATTTTTCGTTCTTCTTGGTAAATTTCATAAGTGATTTTTTCTTTGTCTAGATATTCCTGGAGAGTTTGGGTATCATTAATTTTAAAAACATAGGGAGCAATTTTCTCTCCTTGTTCCTTTTTTAGAATGCTTCGAATAGTGCTGTAATTCTTGGGTTCCATGGTGGATTTAATGTAAATTAGTTTCATATTAATATTTTATATATAGAGGTAATCCTATATTAATCCTGTTATGGTTTATAATCATCCCATTTTGGTATGATAAAGGGAGCATTAAAATTAACAAGTCCATAAGTTATGAATGAGTAATTTACAAGCCACATCAGTTCACATGATCAAATGTTCACTTTGTCTGGTTTTGTTGCAGTCTGCCCCATAATAGACTTGCGTCTTATGCCTGGCCCATTTGAGCTAGTCAATAATGATACTTCCCAAATGCAGAGGGGAAGTACCGTAGAGCGCTGGCTAAAGGACCCAGGGTACTTTACAAATCCTGTAATAGGGGGAGGGTACTTTACTCGGAGGGGTACTATGGACAGAGTATTATGTATCCGTGTAAAGTACCCGGGGTACAAAATTATATTTCTCAATTTTGCTCATACTTATTGGTTTGCTAACAACAGCTCCATATGACGCTCATCTATTCTATTCTTGATCACTCTATGACACTCATTAATTATAATGTACATACAGTGTGTCAAAGGAAAATTGTATACGTCACTAACCCGCGTCTAGCATGCCCAATTTGGAACCAATTTGCGATGAGTTTAATTCAAAATGAAAATAAACACAAAAATTTAGGGATCAATTTAAACTCTCTTTTTTTATTGTATCCATACATAACTTTTTTGATACATTATTACACAATGTCTGCTACCAAGAAAGAATTACAACGTAAAACTTGTGGAACGAGGGAGTGTACAATGCTCGCGAGCTACATGCACATAGAAGCATACCACTCTCAACAATATATGACAATATAAATAAACTGAAAAAAACAGCAAGACAATGATCCCAAGCATAGTAGTCATCTTGCTAAAGCCTTTTTTGATGAGAATTCTCCAGAATTCATGGACTGGCCATCCAATAATCCTGACTCAAACCCTATTGAAAACTTATGGGCCATTGTGAAAGGTAATGTAGAGAAATGGATGCCTCAAAATTGGAGCAATTTACGGTGGAGTGGAGGAATATTCCAGATACTGTGTAATAAATCTCGTGGGCTCAATGAGACATTGTTGTGAACTTATTGTAGAAAATCATGGAGAGAGAATCTCTTATTAATTGCTGTTAATAAAATCTGTTGATTTTCAGCCTTTAAATAAGTTATAAATCATGTAATTTGGTCCATTTATCGTGGCACAGTGAATGAAAAACTTATTCCGGTTTTTTTTTGACACACTGTACGTAGGAAGTGAATGCGAATTGTCATTGGTTATTATAAGCCACGTGATATGTAGTCATCGAGTTTTCTGTACCCCGGGTCTCATTGCCTTATGGTGGGGGTACTTTACACGGGTACTTTAGTCAGCGCTCTACGGTAGCTATGTCCCCTACCAAATTTAGTAACTCGAAGCGTTACCATATCTGGTAGGGGAGGTTAACTGATGAGAACGCACTCAGTTTCATGATTATCAAAGGACCGTAATACGTGCTAAAGTTTTGTATGTAAATGGACAAATTTAACACAGTTACATTAGACCAAAACACATACACTCCCTGGAACAAAGTATTGGAACAGCGTTTTTTTAACATTATGCAAAATCCAGTATAATAACAAAAAAAAATTTTTTTATATCAGTTTGTAGCTTAGGTTTTCAAAAACCTGTATGTAAATTTTTGAAGCGCTTAGCTTTTTGGAATAACAAATAATTAACCAAAAAGCAATTGCGTCAAAATCCATTTTGCTGGTCCTTAGCCTTAAAATTTTAACGACCATCCATTATTCGAGATACACGCCTCAAGCCGTCTTGGCTCAAATTGGGTACGTTTGTGAGGAACCAGTGACCATTCCTCTACGATTTTTTAGCCGCCTTTCAAGTTCATTCCAAAGGTGTTCAATTGGATTAGAAGATTGAGACTGCCAGTCAGGTAGAATCTTGATTTTCTTTTCCCCAATCCAATTGGTAACACCTTTTGCTATATGCACAGGGCATTGTAAAAGAAAACAAGACACGAAAAATGAAAGTCTGAAACAACGTGACAGAATCAAAAACACCGACATGAAAATCTTTACCCTTTTTATTCGATTATGTATTTGTCTGTAAATCCGGGATTTACATAGTGACGGGATTTAATATTAAATACAACATAATAATAAAAAGAAGTGGCAAAAAAAAAGGGCGAGAACAAAGCACATGTTTGTATTTACTATAATAAAATAAAGTAATTTATTTACATATTCACGTTTAATTTCTAAGGCAAAATGGATTTTGATTGTAATTACTTTTTGTTTAATATTTGTCATTCCAAAAAGCTAAGCGCTCCAAAACTTACAACCAGATTCTTGAAAACCTAAGCTACAAACTGATATAAAATTTTTTTACTGTTATTATACTGGATTTTGCATAAGCTAAAAAACCCCCACTGTAGTTAACTTTTGAGAGATACTTTATTAGAACCGTACGCGTATATGCTGTTAATGATAATGATGACGTATTATCTCCTAAATTTCTGCGTAATTCCAATGCATAAGCCACGCGTCTTCATGTGTCAAATTGTTGAATCCAAAGAAATTACTCAAACTTTGACAGCTAAAAGAACAAAAGTTTCCCGAGAAAATGTGTAAATAGTGGCAAAACCATAGTAATAGTGATATTCTGTATAAACGACGTCTGTTTTTAGAACCTGCGACTCTTCGGGATTTCCTACAAATTGGAGATACTTAAAGTAGTCAAGGAATATGGAAGTCGATAATGGAATAATGATGGCTTCAACAATATCCCAGTTGCAAATTGCCGAAATGGCGTTCCCGACCAGACGTGCGGAACCCATCTATACTGTCGGCGCGAATTTTCACGGATTGACCACTATTACTATTTCTGTTCAGAGAAGACTTAGTCCTCAGTCAATGTCAAGACGGTGTTCCCGGTAAATCACTTGAGGAAGAATGGAAGTAAAGGAATGAGAGTATTTTGGACACTGTAATGCTCAATCTCTGCGTATTACCTCTTAGTTCGCGCACACCAACTGAAGATCGAAGTGATAGGAATCTTCACAACCACTTAATTTCATTCCTATTTCTTTGCTGGGGTCGCAGATGTGTGTCTATCTGCCTTTAGAATAAACACATTCACAACCACCGGACGTATTGACTATGAGCTCTTCAATTATCCCCTTATGCAATGGGGCTGTGCTCGTAAGTGACAAAGAACTTGGAACTATAGAATGTTCTTCATAAGTAAATTTTAATATATATTATACGTTCCTTTATTAGTTTGGTGGCTTATAGCATTTCTATTATAGTTTGTAGTATTGCATTAATTTATGACTTCTACATTTGCGTATTTGCATTTCTGAATTCGCTGAAATCATCAAATTTTATTTGTCGAAGTCTATTTGTATTACGTTCTCATACCGCGTTTTATAGAATTAATTTTTTATGTTGATATTTATCTCTGTTGGTAAAATACATAACAGCTATTCAAATTTTGACAACGTCCCAGCGTTCATGTCAATCCGCACTACTACAACAGCAAAAAAGTAAAAGTAAAAAGGGGAAGAAAAGCTGAAGTAAATAATGTGTGAGAAGCCAGAAAAGCCCTATTAAAAATCACCGCCATCAAAGCCAACGAAGCCCTGCAATTGTTAATGGTTTTTACGTCATTAGTCAAAGTCATAATACAGAAAACACATAATAATTATCCGACATACCGTTAACAAGAACACGGGGAAGAACTTCTTCTTCTCAATCTTAGAGCACCAATTCCAAGCACTAGTCAAACGCCCGTCAATACAACTACCAGCATCAAAGAAGTTATCTGCACCACTGCCATCGAAAGCATATCGGAAGAAATCAACGAGGATATCCTTCTTCAACGTCTCAACATCATTGAATGTTTCCCGTATGTAATCGCCAATGCCTTCGTTTTCTCTGGCCAGTTTCGGTATGTTGTCAAGGCATATGAGTATAGGATTCAAGATGCGAGAGACTTGATTGTACTGTCAAGAGTAAGAATTCATTAGATAAATGGTTGAATGTGAAAAGTGTGCAGGCAAAAGATCACTTGTACTTGTTTGTTACGTACTTTGTCAATGAACACAAGAGAGTTTGGAACGTTCTTATCGCCCAAATGAATAACCGAGCTCCCAACCCAATGTCGTGCTTTTTGCTGAGCCCTATGTAGAATAGAGTGCATTACTCTTGACACTGTCAAGCATCCTTGTACTCTGTTTAGACCTTGACCAGTGTCACGGAGCCTGTATGTATTGTTCTCGGAAAGCATGTCATGATCAGCCATCGTCCATAATTTGAACATTTCGTGTTGGATTTCTCGCCAAAGAGCGAGCGTTTGGTTTCTAATACAAAAAGTCGAAATACATATAATAAAAAATTAGACATTAAACCAAAATAGTTGTCTGAAACAAGATAAGTTTGACAAATTGCTTCTTTTAGTTAATTGCTATAACTTTGTGCCTCATTCTATGCTTAATATCCCTTTTACTTACGCATAATAATACTGCATTTCATGGCTATGCGACAGCCGTGCACCGTGAACACCCGCGCGTATAGCAAGCGAATAGTTATCTTCGATTTGACGAGGATCAAAATACTTGATTAGGTAGTCAAGCATACGGTCGCAACAATCTCTGTAGGCGAATTGACATTCAATTTCAAGTTTAGCAACATGACCGGAATAACAAATAGGACTTCGCCAACTTTTCAAACAAATTTAGTCTGTAAACGTTTGACACTCACCGATTCGCTCTTAAATAGGCGTGATTGTCACCAATGCTATATAGACATTGTCGGATTTCTTCGGGTTCCAATAGACCAGGCTTGGAATATTTGTTACTCAGATGGCTGATAGCACGTTCCTTTTCTCGGATTTCTTGCTGAATCTTTGAACGTGATTTACCCTCTGGGATAATTTCTGCCGTCGCTATTTTTACCAACTCGTTGTGTAGTATGTTCAGGGCATCGCGGTCTTTTAGAAAGCTATAGACGGTCTTAATTGGTCGAATTAGTTTGAGAGGGAGTATATCTTGAACGTCTGGGGTGACCGAGTCCTACAAACCAATTATCTTACATGGTAAATAATTTCGACTTGCTTATAAAAGAGCTTAGTCATTAAATCAGTTTAATTCAGTTACCATCAACATAAACATGAGTTTTCCGTACGCATCTCTCATTTTCTCTGGATTCATGATTTTGTGTCGTCGTCCAATCTCGAAAATACTTTGGAAAAATTCTTCATTCTCCCGGTAGTCTTTATCGGCGATCAGCTCTTGACCCCTCTTATAGTCGCTATGAACGGTCAGCTGCATATTAGATTAACCCAACATTATTATACTTACTAACAATACATGATAGTTACCTTGCAACCTATTAAACCAAATGTAAGCATTAGATTATATATTACAAGATTTACGGCCAACAAACAACCAATTTCAGATATTGGCATACATACCACAAGCCCAGAAAGAATTCCACAAAGCTCCATAATCTGCTGTACAATCCGTTTAGATTTACTGCTGTACGTTATTATGTCGATTTTATCCGTATATTCTGTCAGACCGATTAGGTGTTAGCCAAATAGCCCTTAAGTGAGATATCCTTCAATCATATAAATAACTGACCTGATACATTCAGCGCTGCCTCTAATCTAAACCATACATTTACCAATGATCACATTCATTAGCACACTAATTCAACAACAATTAACTTCTAAATACAATAAATCCACTTAGCACATAAATAATAATTCAGCAGAGTAACCAGATACTCACAGCCTCAGGAATTTTCGTTCATCCAATGTCAGCCGAATCGGTATGTACTGTGCTCGTTCTTCTATCCACTCACCCCATTGTGTATTAGTAAACGTATTCTCTATTGAGTCAGGTCTTGTATATTCGGTTTCAGAGTCACAATCTCTCGCCTAATTGTAAATAAGTCATTTGATTTAAGCATGATTGACGGATTGAAAGCAATGCGTATCATATCAAAGTATCACAGAGTTATTGAGTAAATAAACTGCTAAACAATTCTCGCAACTTTTTACAAAAAAAAAATTTTTTTTTTTAATATAAATCTATTTTGTTCCGCGAATCACACCGAGCATACCTCGTCAATAGCTGCTGCAGTCGCTGCGTTACCATTAGTCAGAGCTTTCACCCCATTAGAGATGACTTGAGCGTTAGCGTCGGCAGCAGTCGGTTTAAGACTCTTTCTGGAATGCTTCCGGCGAGTACCCGTACGATGAATCATAGCATAGCACATCTCACAGAAATTTTCTTCACAATTTTCACATAAGTATGACGTTTCCTGTTAATTAACATCAAATTAGCTCCTACTAGTTTGGAATTATCAAGCTATTCAGGCGATATTCCAAATTCGTCAAATTTTTTTACCTGGTCTCGGCATTCAACGCATAATCCTTCTAGTGGCTTATCATCAATTGTCTGATTCTCAGTAATATCTACATCTTGATCGGCATCAGTCATTGTCTCGTCAACAATCTCATTCTGTTCAATTATACTATTATGGTCTATGATATCCTCCAAACGCTTTTTTCTTTCCTCATTTGGGTCCAACTCAGCATCTGGGGCGCCCTGTCCAGGTGTTTCTGTGTCTCCCATTTCGGCATCATCAGAATTAGGTCCACTGTTAAAGTCATCATCCCTCGTTGGGGAGGGTGTTCTTGGATCAGTCTGGGAGATATAAGTCTCACTTGGGTTATCCGAAGCAGTAAATAGAGGCGATTTGGGAACTGTGGTTTCGGTCGGAGCGAGATTTAAGTTAGAACTGCTGTCGAAAGCGTCGTCATAAGTTTTGGGAATATCATCATCAGATGCAGAAGTCATTGTCGTAGTATTAGGTTTTGTCTTTGTTGTTGTCTAACGGAGAGAAAAGTCCTATGTCCGAGAAGAAAAAAAGTAAATTTGGATATATATTGAGATGTTTGTATGCTGCACGGGGTCATACAGGGGTCGAAAGAGCCACTTAACAACGGAGAACTTTTGAGCCAGGATGCTGTGTATACGTAATCAAACGCGCACACAGAAAGAATGTCATCCTATATTAGTCGAGGCGTTATCAGTTTCGGGGTTTAGAAAAGAGTTGGCGTACCACGTGAGTTACAAAACATCGGGGCGCAGTCATACACAGTGAACTAACGAAATAGTGACGTAATATTAATTAGTTAATGATAAAACAACAATCCCAGTTTAACGGCTATTATTGGAAAGCTTTAAACGAGATCGAAAAATTAACATCGTTATATAAATAAGATCTAAGAAACGAATGTGGGCCTTCCAAGACAGAGTAGACCTTTCTTGTAAATGATATTTCGCGTGTATAAACTCCAATGAGAATTTAATACTGAAGCATCTGATAATTCAGCGTTATAACAATAATTACTCTTTCGTACGTGTATTAGAGTGTAAATATACTGTCCAACAAATACATAAAATCACTTTTTTGAACCAATCTCGACTTTATTATCATGTGCATCAAGTCGCTAACCCAGTATATACTAATGCACTGAGCCCTGTGAACGAAATTACTTCTTTAATGAGATATCAAAACAATTAACTCAGCACAAAGCATATCCGAATACTTTGTCCATTGTCCACTTTGAATAGTGTTTTTTTTAGAATATTACTGCAATAAAGACGTAGAGTCAATTGTGAGCTAATAGTTGGTCAATTCGCTGTTGACAGCTAGCTAGTGTTTACAAGAATATGTCCAATTTTTATTATAATAGTAAAATCTAATCTATTCGCTTTCGACACCCAATACGAGAATGTTTATATGGGATGTAGCGTTATTTCAAACGTCAATAAACGGCGTCATACTAGAGAGCGTCACATAATGAACATAGTTGTCCGTTGTACGATTTGTTAAAAAGCTTGTCTATTATTCCTTGGAATCTAACATAAGTCGATAAGCCAGTTTCAAAGTTCAAGCTGTGGATTAAGTGAGTGCAAAGAATATTTCAATCAACAGCTCGAAAATTTATTTATTTGAATAGTTTAGCGCCACATATAGGCGAGTTTATACTTTAACAATAGGAGGTATAGACGTAATATTCCGAACGCAACGCGGCTGAAAAACTCAACATGACCAATATGCCCGCAGCTATGAACGAAAGATTCGGGACAACAATTTTTATGTCTATTTGAATGCAAACCAAAGTTACTAAGAGCATCTTTACAATACATGATAAAAGCAGGCCTTTATTTACGAGAGTTTAAAATATGAAACAATTAATCTAATTGTTACTCTTAATGGCCTACTAATTTCGATTTGATACCATGTCACCGAAGGGTTTTCTTGTTAGGCACATGGTATTCTCATAACGGACGAAGAAACAACCCCTCTCTTGCCATGTAAATCATTATTGGCGCTCCGGGAAGGATTTGAACCTCCGCCGCTTTCTGATATATCCGATGTCCCGAACCCATCGAATTTGCTTTTTCATATTCAGTGGAACCGTTGTGTTTACTGTTTCACTGGTTTTGTCTATTTTTTCGTCCGTCATTGTTATTATTAGTGATAAGATTTTTGGTAACCATGTTACCGAGACAGTGATAATAAGTCTTTTGTCGCGTGCACTTTGTCGATACAGTTTTTCGGAAAGGTCGACAAGCTCTATCAACGGCTTTTCAAACAATTGTCCATCAAGAGGTCTAATATTCATCAAAAGAGAAACCGTTCGCAAATTAATAAGCCTGATCTCTGCTTTCTGCTCCTGATCTAAATATAAGAAACTAGTCAATGTCACAATAGAATATTTGTATTGAAGAGTGGCTCAAAAACCATCGAGACAACTCAACTCTGGATTGACACAGAAAAAAAAATTAATAACAACGATAATTATATTATGAATACACTCATAAATGGCCAAGTATTTTACTCCCATTCATGTTCAATGACTTGGTACTTTATAAAAACGAGAAAAATATGTTTACCAAATCTAACTCATAACGCAACATAAGATATTGTGACGTAGACAATTTGTGGCGCTGTTGCAGCATACCATATTAATATCTCTGGCCACAGCCTCATGCATATCATAACCTTGTCATAATAATAAACTAAATAGCACGACTTTCTTATCGTTATCAACGAGAAAGTTTGATTATCTCACCCAATCCCCCTGAATACAAGATGTTTTCTATAACCTTGTCAATTATGCTTAAAATACAAAAGGGAGGCTATGTTAAATTGTTTGTCGTGTAACACTACTATAGAACTTTATAGAGAGAAATGTCTAAGAAGTCGTGGGAACGGTGGATGCTATTGTTCATGACGTGCCCGCTTTGTGACATAATTAAACCCACGATGTTTCTGCTCTAGTATTAATGTAGTTAGCAAACTGCGCCAAATCTTTCGAATATCAACAATGATGATCTACATCGGAAATACGTGATAATTTCCGCAGAGAAACATCCTTCAACTCAATGCTAAAGCTTCTAGACGTATTCAAAAAAGACGACGGCGGCACGCCAAAGTTTCCCTCTGAGCTAGAAAAAAACTACCGGATATCCAAGATTGTTCTTGGTAGAGGCTCGTTTGCCACCGTGAAGGAATGCACCGATAAACGTACAGGACAGAAGTATGCACTAAAAATCATGGAAAAGAAAGCCTTTCGGGGTAAGATGAACAATCTTTGTCATGCCGCGTGAGTAGACGTTCACTGCGCGAAAGTCCTACTTGCAAAGTCTGTTTCGCGGATAAAGAGTTTTTGGGAAATGACAGATCACAATATGGTGTTTAGTGAATATTTCGTAGTTAGACGACCTAGACAAGTAGCAAGTTTGGTCGCAATATTGTTCCGACTCAACTCGAGAATGTTATTGTCTAAATTTGCACCTATTATTCTTTCCTCTTTTGTCGTCACTATAGGTAAAGAACAATTGCTGACAACAGAAGTCGACGTTTTGAGAAAAGTGAAACATCCCAATATTATATCCTTACACGATTTATACGAAACCAAAGATGCAATCTATTTCATAACTGACCTTGCAAGGGGTGGGGAGTTGTTCGAAGAGCTTCTTCTTAGAAACTATTTTTCGGAAAAAGATGCTGCAAATCTTGTCAAACAAATTCTCGACGGTGTCGCATATTTGCATGACTTGGAAATCGTCCATCGAGACCTCAAACCCGAAAACCTCTTGTTTAAAGACAAGTCCATCGATTCGAATATTATGATTACCGATTTTGGATTGTCGAAAATTCTACGGCATAGAAATGATATCCTCACGACAGCATGCGGGACACCGGGGTATGTGGCTCCGGAAGTACTGTTGCAAGTCGGGCATGGCAAGCCAGTAGATTTATGGAGCTTGGGGGTCATTACGTATGCGTTACTCTCTGGAAGGCCGCCGTTTTTTGGTGAAACTCAGGCAGAGCTGTTTGATGCTATTATTGACGGATCGTATGACTTTGACGACAGCATATGGTCAGATGTATCCAAAGAAGGTAAGTCGGTAACAGAGGGTTCTGTATAATATGCGGTGCAATTGAAGCGGACATCATCAGTAATTTTACTTTCGGCTGATTTCTCGCATCCTCTTGCTTATTCAATCTCCTAATTCCTTGTAATTGTGCTCTTTTTTTCTTTTTCCAATTCAAGCCAAGAACTTTATCGCACAACTCTTAGCCTACGATCCCATAAAACGAATGACAGCAAGAAAAGCTCTTCTTCATCCGTGGCTTTCTGCTGCGACCAGTGATGTCAATCTTATTTCTGCCGCTCGCCCCAATTTTTCCGCCAGGGCTATGTTTCGGAAAGCTGTCAATGTTGTTCAGGGCATTAATCGATTGCAGAAAGGTATGCATAGTGGTGAGGATATAGGAGAAGAAAGCAGAGGGTCGGATGTTACTGAAGAATCAACATCGCCCAAACTTGAATTGGAAGAAGGTGAAATTGAAAGCGCAACCGAGACCGCGGCAGGGGTTAGTGGAAGTGATAGTTGTGAGAGTGAGGAAAAGGATGATGATACACCATCGAAGAAGGGTGAAGCTTGGGTGGAGTAGTCGTTTTTAGAGGTAGTGATGATGTATTTATTATATATTTTATTTATTATATTATATAAGTTTTGTCGTTGCTTTTTATTGATATATACTTTTTGTAATTACGTTCGCATTGTATTAAATGATGTTGTCGCGCGACACAACAGCATTGTATAATCACTATACATACACGAATGAAGTTTATGCGAGTCATGCGTGCTTCTAGTCTTCTGAGCATGCTGTCACTAAGATTTTGGTATCTGCTTAGACAAATCACAGAGTAAGATGGTAAACTTTTTGTCAGCATTAATGTTCACTTTTTTAATAACACGACTTGAAAGTACTATGTACATGTAAATGAATAATTAAAGAATGAAAGGGGGAAATTATTAGTAAAAGCATTCCTCTACAAAAAGTACCTAGGGAATTGTTATTCCTCTGTTTTAAGGATTGGCAATAATGGATTACAAACTTGGCAACTTATCTTCAAGGCGTTCCTTTTGCAAGGAAGAGGACGACTAATGGTAATTTTTGATTGAAGAATACTTGAGCGTGATGATCCACAAAATAGTTGGTGACGCGTATTATAAAACGCTATTTGACTACGATTAAGTAATGATATAATCACATTGGCAATAGGTGACGTCGTGAAGAAATGCTCAATTCGTCTCGATTTATTATTCGCATGCTGTTAGAGATATGATATATTGCGTTTAGCTGTGTCATTTATTATCTACTCAACTGCCACAACATATATGCACTTTTGGCCACTCATTGAATCAACCAATGGTTTCGAGGCTATAGGGCACTTGATAGACGCCGTGTAAGTTTAGTGGAATGTAAAAGAAGAAACGTTGAGTAGCAGCCAACTATAACGATGATGATCGCGTGCTGCATATAACGGTTTAATACAATCTTATTCATCAAAGACGATATTATTTATTTGATGCCTTCTATCAGAATATTTTCGACATGTTGGTTTATGCTCATGGTATTTTTCTATATAAAGGTGAAAATGCTAATGTCTATATTAATATGCTAATGGTACACAATGCTATGCTAACGGATACAATGCTGGTGTCTAGATGCTAATGTCTACAATGCTAATGAGTGAGTATTTTAATGGATGTGATATGTTAACAGTGAATGTGAATGCCCCATATGATACAAGTGCTATGTCTATTATGATACAAGCGCAACTCTGAGATGTAAAAGTATGTTATTAACTCTTCATGCTCTCTATATTAACCCCATCGCGTATTACTCTTCATTCACACTTGTAAAGTCCATTGACGTTTCTACACGTTTTTCCCAACCAACCAGCGATAGTGTCTTTGACAGCTTTTCTGACACTAAGCAGCGACTCGGAATCGGATTTCTGCCCAACTTTCAAGTCGTTCGTATGCGACCCGCCCTTGACTTCTAGGATAACCATATCAGCTGAACTTGCTCTGTTAGTAGCAGCGATGGATAACGGGCGCCATGGGTCAAATTCACCAACGGTAAATACAGTGTTTGCAATAAAAACATCATTGCCACCATACTTGGCGTTTGTAGCATCGACACGTGGGGGCGGGATATCGGGCCACGCAAAGTTGCATTGGAATTGATAATACGTGCTATTGACAAAGAGTGAACGAAGAGTAACCGACGGTGGTTGAGGCGCATTTTGGAAATATCCGTATTCGTTACAGTACTGCCATAACCAAGCCAAATCATCGTTAAGACTATCGGTACGATAATAGTCCTTGGTATCCCATCTGTTTGCAACGGCCGAATCTGTGGAAAGTCCTTTAACCTGCATCGATATTCGAGTCGCTTGAGCAAATGCTATTGCCATCGCTTTGGGCGATTTATCCGTACTATTATCAAACACAGAACAGAACGTGGGTATCTCGTCGAATTGACCGGGATCTGACGGTGGCATGTAGGATTGGACAATGTCTGATGGAAGAGTAGTCAAGGCTGACGCAAAGTCTCCGTCGTTTGATAGTACGGACATTCCAAATAGATCCTTCAAGTTGTCTATTTCTGTCCTATTACCGGAAAACAATATGCTATCGATGTATTTTATTGCATCCGCTAGGTTACTACTACAAGGTAGTCTTTTAGCAATAACTTGATCAAACTCGAAGAAATCCAGTTTGGCCTTTAGCGGAGCAGAGGATGCATAAGCAGCAGTAACTAAATCAGGGTACTTTTGTCTCATCCATGCAGCCAGATTTCCGGCATAGGAACCACCAACAAATATCCACTTTGCATTCTTGGGGATTTGGTACAGCAGTGGTGGGTTTTTGATGAAATTGGCAAAATCGGCAAGAGCTTGGTCGGTAGTGAGATACTTCATTGCGGATGAATTCCAGCGAAAGTAAAGCGGATATGATTTGCCATAATAACGGTGTTCGAGACTGATTAGTAGACCATTGAGGCTGGCGGCTAGCTCACTAACGCCGCTATTGGCCACTGTATCGGCGCGTATTGCTGATTCGCCTTGAGTATGTACTGATATAAAGAAAGGGCATCAGTTAATAAAGTAAGTTAATAGAGTATGGCGATATTTGTAATCAATTTTCATTGTTCATTCGTCGATTTCCCTACAACTTGGTTTTGAATACTTACAAAATATAGGCCCGCCTGGCTTATAAAAAGTGTCATTCACATAATACCTCTGCAAAAAGAACCCTTTGGCATTATTCGTATGATCGAGTGGTTGAGTGTACAAACGAGTCACGATTCCATTTGCCAGCACATCTACTGAATTGTCTCTCTTTCTGGAGGCATCGACATTAAGCTTGTCAAAGGAGGGCGATTTTGCACAGTCTGATCGTCTACAGAATCTATCTGTGACATCTGATGATTGACTATCAAAGCCGGTGTCTGTAGAGAGAGAAATAGGAATCGCACCAACAGATCCCAATACCGAAAAATAAAGAATGAAGATTGATATGAAGTATGTTGTATATTTCATCGTGTCATATTATAAGGGGGAATTATGCAGAGATATTATGCAAATGCGGGCGAGACGAATTTATATATTTACAGGACCTGCTGTATTGAGGTTCTATGGCACTTGGAAGAATGAATTTCGAGTGCAGAGAATAATATTATGGCGAGGAATCGTTATTTATTGGAATTGTTATTTAAAATTATGACAAAGAAATGTAACACTACATCCATTCGGTGCATTTCTTGAATTCTAAACCTACATTATGTACAACTTTGTACATTTTTGTTGCAAACATTCGATGCACAAGGCACTTCTTCTGGCATGAATGTTTCAGACGATCAAAGAATGACAATATTAATGGGATATTAATAGAAATGGTGCGTACACAATGTCAAAGTAAAGTGTTAGATACAGGATTAAACGGGTCGCCGAAATACTGATAGAAGCTACAATGACCGTGAGATGAAAGAGATGTGAAAGCAACGAATTCCGAGTGCATCCATTTTTAGAAACAGGAAAATCATGTCCACATTCCCTGTGCATATTTGGGTCACAAAACACTCCAATTCAGTATCCACATTGCTGCATTGATTGGTTTATGAAACATGCCTTGTTGCATTCATAGCAGACAAGGTCTTGTAACGATATGGTTAGCTATATTTGGTAGATGGTAGGCAAAAAAGTGACGTAGACAAACTTTAATTGATTGGGATTTTCGATCTGATCAATGACATAGAGATAGAGCTTTGTTTTTGAAACTCGGGTTTTCGATTTCAATTAGTCAGCATTCAATACCTGGTTTTTCTCCAATAGACGCAGCGTCTATCATTAGCAATTACGTATTTTTATTCCTCAATTGCCTTTTTCATTCTTCGAACGATAAGGATTACAACTCGATCAAATACGCTTTATTGACTAGTGTAAAGTAACGAGTGTGAACGTTTTGAAAAGCCAGGAACAGATATTAATCAACAATGGTATTGTGATTGTATAGAAGCTCAACAAGGAACGGGTTGATTCGTTATAAGACATTGTGTTTATGACCTGCTTTGATGGATTACGGATGACCAGAGATCTTGTAACATTGGTTATTTCACAGTGGTTTTGACGGGTGGCGTAGAACTATATACACATTCCTTTTGTCACCGTCTTCCCGTGAAACAGCAGCTGCTTCGAAGCCAAAAATTTTGTTAAATAAACGGGGAAGGAATTGATTACAACTAAGCACGATTAATTTTCAATGCAAAGGGTACTGTAATTTCTTGTGCTACATATGAACAATGATGGTAACTCGACAGGTATTGCGTCCTTGTTATGAGCAGCTCACGCTTTAAATGATACTCACGCTTCCATTTACTTTCAACTAACCTTGCCTTTTTTATTATTAATTTTCACATTGTGACACAGCGCGCGACAACTTGCATTTTCTCATGCATGTTCAATTGCCGTTAATAGCAAAACTAGGAGTAGTAAATGAACGTGAAAAATCTGAAAATGGATAGAGACAAGGAAATGAGGGATAAGGCATTAAACGATCGTGAGAGAAAAGTGAGCATTAGAAGCACACCCAGGCGCGATTGCAGCGCAAGAAGCTATAATAATAACGATAATTATGATTTGTTTCAATCTATCTGCAAAACGACTTTTGTGTACTGCAAAAATCAATTCCAGAATTGCTAAAACGAGACTCGTACTAGACGATCCTTGCATTAAACATGATCAAGTTCGACCCTTTATAAAGCTCTCCTCTATTCTTGGAGGAGCAAGTATCTAATTACTTACTAATAATCATAATCATAACGAAATGATAGAAATAAAAGACAAGAAGGATATCGGTGACTGCGATAGTAAAAATGTCAGATTCAACGAGAGGATTATACTTAACGTCGGAGGAGTGAAGGTGAGCAGATAAATGCAAGTAAAGAGTTTGATTCACATACAGTACATCTCGCCCTAACAATGAGTCATTCTGCTTCAGTACGAAACCTACCGTTCAACTTTAACCGCATATCCCAACACACTTCTCGGTACAATGTTTGCGGATCGTAATCTATCCCTTTTATACAAAACAGACGGTAATGAATACTTTATAGATAGGAACGGTCATGCATTTTTTTATATTTTGGAATTCTATCGGACGGGAAGACTGTCTTGGAAAGAAGAAGAAGGAAACTGTATATGTGGAACAGAAGGGCATTTGACCATCGGGAATGATCGTGGGAATAGTAATAATAGCACACCGTTATCTTCACTGTCCCCATCCTCCTCCGTATCTTCCTCATCATCCTCTTCGTATCTACTCACACCTCATGCAACCACACGCTCACAACCCACACGCTCACAACCCACAAAAAACGGCCTGTATCATTCGCGAGTAACCCGCGAAGAACTCATCTCAGAAATGCAATATTTCCAACTCCCTGTCCATACCATTACATCTTCGTTTATCCACCGCGCTGCCGGACAACGCTTGACCCATTTTATGCGATCACTCGAGAAGGTCTTGCACATTCTTGCAAGCGAATTTCAAACCTCTATAAGAATAGACTTTCGTAAAAACAAGCTAGCCCCCCATATCACTATTTTGTCGTCCGGCGATGAAGATACAACGTTAAAGGCAGCCGTCATAAAGGTCATAAAACCACATGGAACGGTTGGGTATGTTATACTAAGTACATATGGAAACGAGATCAAGAGATATTTGGAAAGCGAGGTAGAAGGGGTAACGCTTGAAGTGAATCATGTGGATAATTTCAATTGGTTTAGATTGGAAATGAAGATTAATGGTTTGGAAAACAATCTTGTGTTGGAGAATAGTGTTATAGTAGATAAATGGAGAATGAGAAATGGAGAATATAGAATGTGAAAATTGGAAGAAATTGAGAAAATGAAGATCATTTGCATGTGTATGTATACTGGTGTAACATGCATGCATAACGAGACGTTACTAGAAACATGGATATATGGATAGCTGAGTGACGTAGTCGAATAAATATGTTGTAATACAAATGTTATTGCCAAGCGAATTCGTTGACAGTTAATGAATCCTCGCTTCAAGCCCAGCGAGTCTCCAAAAATAGAGTGTGCCCGATCGACTATTCATTACTTGTTGTGCGCTTTGGCCTTGGAGAATTACAAGCTTAGTGTATAATTGTTTTAAATGACATTTAATATTAACAATAATTAGTATAACAAACAGATCGTCGTGTTAGATTTAATATTCCTAAGCTCGATATTTTCGATTTTAGGAATATTCTCAAACTCGCTATTTTTTGGATATTATTAAAAACAACGAATGGATTAGGAAAAACATTGCTCCGTCAGGGCAAGCAGGGAATGCTTCAATCATTGTACGTTAGTTGTGCTGTTTATGTTGTAATGATTAAATATATCAAAGTTTAGCATTATGTGGATCACTAACCTGTCGTAGTAATTAGACCATGTAACACCGAGTATATCCGGATGTTCGATAGACTTGTTCGAAAGTATTTTTGAGAACATCAAACAAATTTCAGTCCGAAAAGAAAAACCCGCAAATTTATTCATGTGTAGAGTCAAATTACGTTCAAGAGCTAACATTAAATGATTCATAGCGGTCTATTTAATATGAATAAAGATCTAAATTTACGTTTCGGTTGAAAAAAATAATAATAATAACGCAAGTAACCGTGCATTATCTAATTATCTAACCATCGTTTCAAAACGAGTGACTTTAGTTTAAAATGTCTTTAAATAGTGCAAATCTATTGCAAATTTACAATAAATCAATCAAGGAGCTTCATTAAAGTTTGGATCACATTTAATACTAACAGTATCAATTTGTGAAGTCAACACATTTGGCTCTTGGTCCCAACTGATGGGTCCATTCGCCCAATTAGCAGTTCCAGGAGCAGTACTTCCATCCCAAATTCCAAACTGGATATGACTTGGTCTATTTGGATATTTATATATGCCATTTTCGAAGGTTTCCTGTTTAGTTAAAGTTCTGACAGCTTGGCCATTTATTTTCCAGATAATTCTATCTGGGTTCCAGTCGATCGTATACGTGTTGAAATCGGAAATGGCTTTGTTATTGGGAATTTCGTGAATTCCACCGTGAGCTCCCCAGGTAATAACACCGTTCCAATACCAGTTGGATTGAACTCGGTGAACATCTTTTCCGACCCATTCGTAATCAATTTCATCTCCTTCTGGTGACATGGTTATAAAGGCTGTTACACACCCGCCAACAGGGTTTGCCTTTAATGTAATGTCGACAACACCATAATGCATCAAGTATGACGAATTAAACGTTGCTCCCGATCCACCGTATTTGTTGTATGGACCTTGATCTGAATTAATGCGTTCGTACTTGGATGGTTTCTGAAGGTTGAGAGTTAGGAGGCCGTTATTAACAGTATATGCGGATTTGCTACCTGATAGATTGATCCAATCAGCAGACGACTGGTCACCCGAGAACGAAGAAGCTTCAGCTATGCGGGGTTTGGAAAAGTTCTCTACAAATGATTTGCATGGGTTTTTGGTGTAAACCTTTTTGGGAGCTGGCTTGGGAGCTGGCTTGGAAGCTGGCTTGACAGCAGGCGGCTTTTTATTGCTCTTTTTTTTCTTCTTGTGTTTTACTCTGCGAACAAAGACTCGCCTATGTTTGAAATCCGTTTGCATTGAATTTTCGTATAAATTTAGTAAGCTCCTTGTTGATTCAAATCTATATGCGGCAAAGACTTTGCCGTTGATGACTAGCACAACGGCAAAAAGCAGAATCAAGTTTATCAGCTTTGCCATTTTCTAACCGAGATATTCGCGTAATCTATGAGGTATTGTGTAAGATGTGATTGTACGGAATGCTTGGAATAAGGGAATGGATGAATGATACGCGAAGAAGGGTGAAGGAATGTGGAGGATTAAAGATATTAATATGTCTATTGATTGCGATGTCGATATGAGCGGGAGAGAATGAGGGTTTATATACAATATGCGCATGGTACAAGGCTGCTGTTAGTATGTACTGTAATATTGTATTACTATTATCTTTGTAGTATACAGCCAATTTCAATAGACGCACAGTTTATTAGCTGCATGTAAGTGGCTGCTAAACCGGGCAATTACAGAGTGTGCGTATTTTTAGCAACTTTGCGTAACACCAACACAAGAGGTATTTATGTTATCCGCATATCATTGGTTAAAGCATGGATGTGGGTATGGTCGAATCTTTTCTCTTTACTAAGGCAAGATCATGTCCACGTTTTTAGTGGAATATTAAAATGTGTTACAAGTCTTTGATAAATTTAGAAGGTCAATGTGGATAATGATTTAAGCACAACAAATAATGGTAAACAGAGTCGGGGAGGACAAAGTCTTTCTTTATTATTATAGCCAAAGGACATCGGTTTTATATGCAATCGTTCCAATTGGACTTGTTTGCTATTATATGGCGAATCATCCAACCCAAATGAAAGGAAAATATCTTGTTCGCTCAGAGATAAATGACATCCTTTGATTGTTTCGCCATCAATACATGTACGCTGCATCCCGGGGGCTGGGGGTAATGCCATGCCATTAGACATATGTAGTAGTGTAGGGCAAGGAATATCACAAATTCAATGGTGTTGTTTATCGTTCAAACCCGGGTCTTGTAAGACTATTATAGCAAGTTACCGTCATCTGAATCGCAACCAGTGTCATGAGTTTGAAAACGCACAAATTCAGTTTTCGGCGATCTGCATGTAGCTTAAATTTAATTTAACGACAGCCATTAAGATTCCATGCCAAGACGTCGACAGTCTAAAAGACAACTGCTGCAATAATATTCGCAGTTTGCAACCGTTCGTCGCTTTGATGATACAAAGGTATTATATGTCGATATCACTTTTTACGAGTCGTTTAATAGGCCCATACTTTATTCCTCTCAAGTCCCTCTGTTCGTAATGACTCGTTTGATCAGCTTTGTTACACATTCCTTACGTTTCTCTGTGACAGCGTGAGAAAACAACAGTTTTATCAAATTTGGAGTGAGGTATTTCTGGGCATTCTGAATCTTTTCATTGGTTGTCTCTATACTATTCATGTCACGTTATTGCCGACGTTACGCAGTCGTAATTTGTAACTGTGACACAGATGTACAACTGTTTCGTTCAATGTAGCACAAGCAGTCCACCACACCCCCTCAACCTCTCACAATCCACCATTTCTTTCTCATCCACTTCCCCTTCCCAGACGTATAAATAGGCCCACTCGCTATATATATAAGGCTCAGGCCAATATAAACCCCGCACTTGATATAAAAACCGCTTCCCCCCAGTTCTTAGAACCGCGTTTTAGAGATCAAAGGCAATATTTGGGACATAGAAGGGAACAAAGAGTAATTTTAGAGACTAGACAAATAAAAGATGTCAAATAACGTGGTAAGAATGAAGAAGAACCCCGCGAAAAGGGATAGAAGAAACAGGATGACAGTGGGACAGACGCGAGAGTGTCGTATGAATGCGACGTATCTGTTGCATAAAGTCATCACTGGGTTGTATGGCGCAGTATAGGTGATTTAAAATGTAGACATTAATTATTATATTAGGCTTCCGTATACCGAGCAGTCATTGACGATGTGATCCAAAATGTGAGCAAGGACTTTGAAGATATGGGAGTCGACCAATCTGTACTGTTGGAACTAAAACGCGTGCGTAACAGGCTTTCTTGCGGATGATTTGTGTTTCTCTGATTCTTATTAATTACTTATTCTAACGAATTTTCCGTCTGATTGTCGCTCGATTCTTTCACCGATTATGAATGTTGTTCGATTGGATTTCATAGTCATGGGAGCAAAAAGTGGCTAGTTCCCGGGTAGCTAACTGGCAGGCAGGAGAGGCTTTTTACGCAGAGGTGAGGAAGGAATAATATGATGGGGGGAAAAAATGATAGTGTATTACGTTATCATGTTTTTTTCCATGTTAGTCGCAAGCGTTATGTTGAGAATATTCTGATCGAGTGTGCTATGTTGGTTCTCCCGAGATCGAATAATCGTGTTGGACGTTTGACTAGGGAAGGAAAAAGGATTAGCTAATTAACATAGTCTTTCGTTTTCTCTTATTTATGAGGCTATTGCTGATGATGCTTTGAGGAAGGTGTGTTTGTATTTGATAATTATCTTGTAATGATGGTAATATTGTAACAATGAAATGGTCATAATGACGCGATAATTATGGTGATAATGATGTGATGACGATGCTGTTAATTGTTCGACGGAATGTTGCCGTGTCCAAGCAGTCATTAACCTATCATTCCCTTTCACCTTGCTTTTTCGACTCGATTTAATGATAATTTCTCCACCCTCGTCCATTATTGAACAATTGAAATCACAAATCATAATCACCTTAATATCATTTTAACGGATCTTTTCCAATTCCATATTTGTTAATTCCCACCTTTATTCTCGCAACTCATAGTACCAACAAGTTCAAGACCACGAAACGACTACAGCGGCAGCCAATCTTGCAACACTTGCAACTGGCACCTCAATTATTGGAGCGGACAGTGGAAATGGATTGGGTAAACCTCAGCAATTCATTGTGAGTAGTCTCCAATGGGCTGCCAAAAGAAATTTCATTGTTGCCCATTCTTTCTCAATAAACACCCGACTGTCTTCGTTAGGTACAAAAGAACACTGGTCATTCCCAGGCACAGCCAAATCCTGGTCATCCAAATGGTATATTGTTGCAGGATGGTGGTATGTGGAAGAATCGTGGAAGAGTCTAGAAAAGTATTCGCAGAAATGATGAGAGAATTGTTCGCGTATATAAGAAGCTCATTGGAATTGTGGTTGTCGTTATTTAGCCGCGATGATTGCGCCACAAAATGCTGATGCTGCAGATAAGAAGATGTATTATGATATCGTTCAGAAGCCACTATCTCAGGTATCGAGGTTAATCAAATAGTATGATCTGTAAGAAGGGTTATATATCATGGGGTTTGTGGAAATGGGGGTATGAGATGGGTATAAGATATTGTTGTCAACGGATTCTACTAGAGGATCTCACGAAAGCATTGCTTTTCTATCGAGACAATATTTCTAACGCATACCACTCACACTCTCCACCTAAAAGGATGTCGGCTCATCGACAATATTATCAGCTGCTAGCTCATCCAATTTTGTTTCTGCCGACGTTAACACGAAATCTTACGTTTCGGCACCTGATCACAACATGAAAGCACACGTCCCCACAAGCGAATTCGACGTAAAATCCAACTACGCCAACCAGCCTGCTCCGGCTACGGTATTGCCAAGCGGCAGGCGACGACATGGATCTCGAAACGGAAACGATGATGATATCAATTCGGATCTTGACGATTCGGAGGATGATGATGGAGCTGCTGATGGGGAAGAATCGCAGAACATTATTCTATGTTTATACGATAAGGTACGAGAAATAGTGCAGTTTAGAGGGAGGTCGAGAGGAATATGTATGATAAACGAGAATTATGAGAAATGTGTCATAGTAAATGTTAAACAATTGGCCGATGTATCCATGTCTTTGATTTGTAACTTTCATTTTTATTGTTCGTCAATCTCTCTGTATCTTCAATGTATTTCATCAAATGACTGTCTCGATTGAAATCCAGGTCACTCGTACAAAAAACAAATGGAAATGTCAACTCAAAGACGGCATTATGTCAGTCAATGGAAAAGACTATCTCTTCCAGAAGGGAAATGGTGACTTTGAATTTTAAGCGCTACATGAGACTTCCGCTTTCACACGTTAGTTTTCTTTTACGAGCGCATACCATTTAAACGTTTAGTCTAAGTAGGAGTCAGTGAGAAATGTAGACGGGGAAAGGGATAGGGCGGACGTAAAATGAGGTTGGGGATATTAGTATTAGAGAGTTTTAATGGTAAAAAAAAATTTGGTTATGCTGGACATTGTATTAGGTTTCCTTCGTTGCCAACTGCTTATTGATATTACTTGTGTCTATCAACTCTAATAAATGTAATAATTTACGTTATCGTTTCACCTAGCACTAATACGTATGACTGCGGTCATCGCATGTCATACCATAACATTATCTTTTTCATCTCCTCCCGAAAATGACAGAATACAACCAACAAGGCAACTGCATATTCTGTAACATAGCCCGTGGAAATGACGAACAAACAGAATTACTTTATAACGTAGCTAAACTCATCATCTTATATATGTGTATGCATGTCGAATGTGTTTCATAGACAAATCAATGCCTATTTCCATATAGGATGATACCGTTGTAGCATTCAGAGACATAAGCCCGGCTGCAGAAACTCATCTTCTAGTCGTACCAAAGGCACATTATAAGAATTACAAAGCATTAAACAAAGAACATGTCGAACTCGGTGAGTATGAGAATTACGGGGGAGACTTGATGTTATTTTAGTGCTTATATATATTTGTATTTCCAATGAACAAGTCAAACACATGAAACAAGTCGCCATGAGAACGATTACGGGAACGAAATCAGACGATACGGATGAAACTGGATTACTGTAAGTCTTTGAATATAATAATTCCGTTTACATTGTTACAAAGCCAACTCTGTTTATTTACAAAGTTTTAAAGCGTAGGGTTTGTTGCTCCGTTATTCAACACTGTTCCTCACATTCATCTACATGTATTAACACAACCAGTTCAGACCTGGTGGCCGCGTTCGATGGTCTTTACGAAATACTTGTTCAAGACGGTTGATTCCGTTATCGATGATTTGGAGAGTTTATAGGCATACTATATTTTGGACACAGAGAGCCACAAAATATATATATAAATGATAAGCTATAGTGGCTTCATAAAATGCGAACATACTTTATAATAATGATAATAAAAGCAGCAGAATGGTTTCCCAAAGCCATTTCACTACCTTTTTTATCCTTACTATCATTAGTAATCGTGTATAATCATCACTGTTACATGAAATTTCCTTCTTTTTATCAAGCCCAACGTTGAATTGCCTTAATGATTTTTTTTTTTTTTTCACTGGTGTGTTCTTCGAATTCTTATCCTAGAAGCAGAGACAGCCTTTTCCCCTTTGCATGAATTTCAAACGCAATTTCGATAAATTTGGTGATAATTCCACAACGTTTATATATTTACATGCTACCTACTATAAAGACGCGAAAAATTTTCGCTCACACCATGGAACATGACAACTAAAGGCAAGTTTACTTTCAGAGGCTCACTCCAACATTGCTTGTTGTTACTATATCTAGGGATCCAATAGTGTTCTGATTTCTATGTAGACACGCAACCGCTATGTTCGTAACCTCGCAAATATAATCAGCTATGAACAAACATCCACGAAATTGAGTAAACGGGCCAATGACGCGCTTAATATGCTACAAGTACTATTTCTTCGTTTCGTTGGTAACCACCCAGTTATTCCTGATTGCGGTTGGAAATGTTTGAGTTGCGACTCGGGGTGTTCAGCCACCCAACATTTCTGATTGCGATTCTTTTGTTCCTACTAAATATCCTATTGCTAATAGGAGAAAAAAAAGATCTCCCCGGATTAAAATTTCTGGACGAAAGTTGGTAGATGCAGTTTGAACGTTCAATGCTCGCAAGAAAGATTTTCTTTGTGCTAGTGCTCTCTGATCATGTGATTCATAACTACATAATTTGGAACGTGATAAGTGTGAGACTAATGTTCTAGAAATCCGGCCCGATTCAAAATCGGGCTTAGCCCATTGCACAATTACAATTAGCTATGGGCCAAATTTTCTGCTAACATACATTCTTAGATCATCACAAATGTACAAATAAACGAAATAAACAACACATTGTTTTTTCTCGAATTGTTTATTATTTATTGTCAATGAGAATAAAGTTTTCTCATTAATATTAAATATATAACTTATCTATAATTAGTACATTGTCTGTTGGTAGGGTGGCATTGTGTATTGCATTCTGTATCTGTTCTCTTGCAACTACACCTTCTGGTTGAACAGTTTGACTTACACTAACATCTATTTACTTCCTCACTCTGCACAAGCCTCTCTTGTTGAACTGCTTTTGTCAATGATACTATTTGATCAGGAATTTCTTCCAGTTCAGGAAATTCTGCACTGATTCACTCCATGTCAGCTGCATTATAGCTCAATGACACTAACTATAACTACTTTACATAATTTAGTATAATGTACAACAAACCTTACCATGTCAGAACTTTCACTTATTCTTACCTTGATTTTGATTATTATGCCCTGATGATTGTCTCACTGGTGACTCCGTTTTATTGTTAAAGCCTGCATCAGTTGACTCTTCTGTATTGATGATAAATCCAATTTAGTTTAATTTATATACCTTGCGAGAATAATTCATTTATTCCTACCTTGAACTTTGATTATGATGTTCCACCCACTTGCAGATTCTTTCTGGCCACTCTTCAAATATTCTGACAACTAATCCTCTTCTACTACATGATCATCACTTGGCATGCACTTATTCCATGCCCTCAAGTCATCAAGGCATTTTAGAATAAAATCCTTGTCAACTGAAGTAAAGGCCATAGTAGTGATTTTATGGATTAACCAGGAGTTAATATTAATGGAAATACATATGAACTTCTCTCTGGTGAGGGTGGTAAAATTCTAAATAGTTTTTCCATCATACTGTCTCTAATGAAATGTCCAGGGATATATTATTATGTAAAGTGAGTCATCATCAGAGGAATAAGAATATCACTTTCATTAAAATGCTGTAGTTCAGTATCATTTGTGTTCAACTCAGGAGATGGTGTAAAAGAAAATAAATGAGGTGGTGGGAGAGGTGGAGGTGATTTGATGTTTTTGTGATGTTGCTCAATGCTATTATCCTCTTCTTGGCGTTGTTCATTATCACTAGTACTAGATTCAATGTTTTCATGACATTGCTCAATGCTATTACCCTCTTCTTGGCATTGTTCAATATTACTAGATTCAATGTCTTTGTGATGCTGCTCTGTGCTATTACCATCTTGGCATTGTTCATTATCACTATTCTCTGCTCCCATCACTTCACCATAATCTTGGATGACAACAATTCTCTTCATCAGTAATATTCATATTATTTAATTCTCTCAGCAAAACTCTATTTGGGCGTGCTGGCTGACCGAATACTAAAGCATATGGCGTCTCATTAGTTGCGGAGCAAACTTGCGTATTCATGGCCCCTAAAAGAATTACAATAGATAATAGATTAAATTTTATCACAATTATAGGCAATGTGTCAGTTTTTATTAACTAAATGACATCATTTTGATATAATTACATATGACTAGTGGCAATGCTATGTTTCAATCATTTCTCTCATTATCGGCAAGCCAGGCTGAGAGCTTGACTTCAAGCGTGTCATTTCCCTTTTCAATCAGGCTTTGTGACTGAGGATGTCTTGGGCGACCATTATGATTATAGTGCCCGGCCACATACTGACAATTTCGTGAATAGTAATAATAAACGAAAACGTTAAGTCGTTGATTTATAAACCGGGTTATTCAATCATTAACAAGAATATTTTCGCGTAGAACAATCAGTTTTGCATCTACGCTTCAACAGTCTGCATGTCAAATATTCCCGAACTACGATAATGGGCTTGTAGATATTGAGTTGACATTGGCCGTCGACTTGTGCAAATGCTATTATAACTTGGCAATAAAATTGGCCCATGTTGTTTAACTGATATTACCATTGATTTCATGATTGATTATACAGTCGACTGTGACTCCCTATAATTCGATTTTCCCAGTGATAAATGACTTAATATCATCTGCCTTTGCGTTCCGGAGTCATCGGTTAAATTAACATACAGGTCGAATTAACGACAGACATCCTTAATATTAAGGAAGAACAATCATATTAAAAAATCGGGTCTTGTCAAGGCGATCGTTTGCGTCATACTCGCACCTGCTCAGATGCATTACGTCATGTGGGTGCACGAAATTTTATATTAATAATTTGGGTATCAGTGAAAACGTGACTTTATTGCGGTATAGTGTTCTACGCGGAAGGAATTGCTTTTCTTACAGGTCATGATAAAACTCCTCGTGTGGTGCAAAATGGTACGTTATAGTTCATCTTCCTTCTGGTTACAGAGCACATGAGTTGCCTGATCAAGTATTACTATTACTATGGTTGGGTAAATCACAAAAAATAAGTAAATCTTTCGAGAGAGTGAATTACAGTCTCACCATTTTAGATGGAATGGTGGATTCACTTACCGCTATCCATTTGTCGTATCGTGGACCAGAATTTGTAGAGCAGTTGCTTCGAAAATTTTAAATCAATCCTTTGAATGGAGTCACGTTGGCGAGAAAAATCTTACGCTGAATTTTTGGTTTATTTGATGCTCTAAAAGAAATTGAACAATTTCTTGCCTTTGCAAATTCTCACGCTTTTGATCTTCACAGCTTCCACTAGTTTATGATTTTGTCAAATACCGAATTTGATCTATAGTCGTTTATAAAAAAAAACTGGAAAGGATGTTCAATAAGCATGATATAAAAACTTTGCAAGAGGCTTGAATGCAGCTTATCTGTTCTATCGTTGAGGAAGCTGTAAAATACGTATTAGAATCTTATATAGTTTCTAAGAAATAAAGGTCAATTAATAAAATCATATCGAGTATTTATTTTACCGCGGTTCAACTTCAATAATAATAAATCCAGTGACCGGCGCTATATAATTCTATATTAACCTTTAATTGCTGATTATTTGTCCATTAATAAAAATACAGTAATACCTCCTTGTAAATAGCCGATTTTGCTATTTACTACGGAACTTGATCACTCGATCGCAGATAGTGATAATTCGCGAGTAGACGTCTGGGAGAGAAATTGAGTACTAGAGTGATGAATTCGAATGGTGATATAAAATTTATTATATAAACAACATTTCTCCCAGGCGGAAAAAGTAAGTTGGTTCTGCTGAGAGTAAACTGATGTGGAACTACTTTCCTGGGTGGCTTCATCTCTTGTATTAATAAAATATTAATATCCGTTATTGATTATTGGAAATGTTGTATTATTTTGTTCTCTACCGATACTTTGATGTAAGAATTCCCTAGTGACTAATAAGACATGTTACGGAATAATTATTTTGTTATAAAATCATGGCGATTAAGAACCAGGGAATGAAAAGTATTCGCTATTATTAAATTCTGCATAATTTGGTTTCCAAATTTCTCTGCCAACTTGCATAGCTTTTCATCCATCCATCAAGAAACTGACATGTAAATTGACACCCATGCTGGCACATTTGTTCCAATATAACTAAGTTTGTAGCAGCCATCTAATTTAATAGTCGTATCTTTTGAAAATACTTCTTGAGTAACACAATAAAGACTCTTCATAGCCATTCACAGGACCTCTACTGACACAGAAGCCCCTTTACGTACTTGAGTGTAGTGTGTAGACGTTCTCCGAATATTAAAAGTCTCTTACCAATTCTCTTATCTGTGCATCGGCTGAAGTATGCCGTTCCATTAATTTGAGTATAATTTACCTTAGTCTACAATGTACTTGTGTTGGAAAAACTGTTTGATACATTGTTGGTGGTCATTGAGAGTAGAACTCGCTAAATCAGCAAGGGGTTGAGTTTTCGATTTCCGATAAATAGTAAATGAGTATTCGAGTATGTTATAAAACTGGTTTGTACTTATACTGCAGTAATCTTTTGTTTGCTCTCGTGTCGAGCCAAATATCACGGGAGAGCGGAATGACACGTGACTCGTAAGAATTCAAGCGGAACGTAGCGCCTCCTACTAAGAGTTGAACCAGACTGACAGTTAGTGACCTTTCGTTTAGGCTTTTTACGCTGACGACACTTCCGTTTGCCGGATCGCGACACTAAATCTTAGTTAATTGCTCTCGAGATAATTAGCAACAAATATCTGTCGATGGATTATTTCGACAGTCTGTCCGTTTTAAAATACACCTAATTATTAACCTCGACAATTAATTATCTTAATTCGCATCGAGGGACAAGAATCGATTATCCTTTTCCGACATAGGGATTAGTGATTTTAACTATATCGAATAATTTGCAATTAGTTGTGATCAGAGTAAATGCGATACTCGTTTATTGATAAGATAATAAAGGAATCGGATAAATAATATTAAACGGAACTTAGAAACATTCGACACACCGAAACTAGCTGACTGCTTTTATATCTTCTGAGCTACTAATTGTCCTATTTTTAGCAACATTAATTCTAAGCTACGGTTATTGGTTTGTTTCTTTTATCATTAAGTAATTTCCGTATTTCCAGACTGTTATTTTTCTAACAGCGCGCTGCGAATGAAATACCGTTACGCAAAGATCTGCGTTGCAAATGTCACCAACGATATAGCAACAAAATGCCGCAGTTTGTTCAAACTGACAAGAACTTGAAAATCTCCGACATCCACGTATTACTCCGAGGTAATATTTAGAATTGAATGTCATTGTTTTTTCTCTATTCCTCTATTAACATAACAGAATCGTAAACAATTTCATCCCTAACAATACCTCACTAGGTAGCGATGAATCCAATATGATTTTGTTGATAGGACCCAACATAGGCGGGCGGGAAGTCAACCTTACTGAGACAGGTAAGAACAACTAACTAGTATTGATATTTACTCAATATAAGTGTTATTTGATATCTCGTATTCTTATTCTTTATCGGGAGTGAAATTTTGACCAATCAAATAATTCCGTAGTAAATAGATCAAAAAGTGATTACAGAAAACAAAACTCTTGTGTTATTTACTCAATTATTTCATTTCTCCAATTATTTTTCCCCTTTCCTGTGCTATCCACTAGTTGATCAAGTGTTATGACTGAAAATGTATGAGTAAAATTGTATGGTTTGATCACCACATGATTGGAATTGCATGATTGAAATTATATGATTGATCATAAATTGTTCAACAGATGTCACCTAAGGTGTTGTATGTCAATTTGGAATCGACATATGTCAGTTTGAGATAATATGTAGGGATAAAATATTATTAAGCAGTGTCAACTATATATTAATATGTGTACTAACGTTGTAATTAAAAGTATTGTATTCTTACAGACGAGTTATTAGTTGTGTGTGTTATAAGAGTCGCTTGATTCAAACTTTTAAATGAGACTTGAAGTATTGACTCTAATTCGATAGTGGGATGTCAGTGATTGTTTGTATAATTACTAGCAACCATT